TTCTATTAATTAAAATATGATCATTTAGCCTCTTTCAATTACTGCTCAAATCATCCATAGAAATGTTTAAACCTGGATTCAGTATCAATTTTCCATATTAAAGGCACTTAAAAGGAACTGGTGCCTATGAGGAAGATGGAGATAAGCAAGAAAATTCTATCAAGGAAAAGCAGCATCTGGGCATGGAGTTGACTGCAAGACAGTAGTTCAATTCCCACTTTGCTCTGCCCTTCAGCAAAGAGCTTTGGGGAACTCTACACAAGAGAAATGGAAGGTGAGAAGGTCATGCAGTGGGTGCTGTTGACTCACTTGTGGATCAAGCAGGGAGGTGGGAGAACTCTGGGGAAGAAAATTTCTTCAGGTGGTCTAGTGGCTTGGACATGGGACAAAAATTCTGGTTAGGAATTGGGAGGCCATACTAAAAATGTTAAAGGGTCAAACATCAATCCATTACTTTTGTATGGAAGTCTTAAATACTGCAGAACAAATAAATACTACAGGGTGTGTGTGTGAGGAATGTACATGAAACTTTAGAAACTATCTGGTTTATACTCAAAAGAAGAAGCCAAAGTTAGAATGGAGTTTTTTGATCCCCTGACATGATAGGCTTGGTAACATTTTACAGCACTTTAATAAAAATCCAAAATCTATAAATTTCTTAAAAGTATGCCAACTTGCAGAAACTAAGAACCAGAACAAGCTGCTTTTAACACCTGATAACTATTTTTTACAGCATGATGCGATCTATCTAGGCCTGGAATTCTGGTAAATGACTGATTTAACCCAGAGTTAACATTCTGGTCATCTCCTGGTTTAAATACAAAATATAAAATCCCCAAACCAGCTCTCCCTGGGAGACTGCCCTCCTCTTCTCAGACTGATGCCTGACCAAACAGCCTTCCATGGGACCCACATTCCAGGACTTCAAAAATACGCGCAGTAACCTCGGCCACCTGAGGGCGGTACAAAGGAAGCGCTAAGTACCAGAACTTAATGAGACACCAGCTTTATAAATAAAAGTCCACCAACACATTAAAATAAATTATCTACCTCATTGTGTCCCGTGAGCGGAGTGAAACTGAACCGCTTAGCGACCTTTTTCTTCATTGGAGCGTCCTAAAGCTTCTGGCTTAAGCAAAAGAGCACAGCGGACACAAAGAAGGGGCGGGCTCGGGCATCGCGCGCAGGTCCGGCTGTCCTCCGAGGCCAGGACGGTGGGCTCTGTCACAGCCCCCCATATGTGAACGTTTATCTCCGTGACTAACGAGTCGCAGGCTCTGACTCCCCTACCCCACCGCCTAAAAATGCGTATTTGCGGAGCGGGGGAGCCAGCCCGAGTTTCTGCAGAGGCGCGGCTCCTCCCGGCCACCGCGCCGCAGCCCCCGGCCGCCAACTCCCACTGCGGGTCACCCGCTCCAGCGGGGCCCCGGCGCCAGCACCACAGTTGAGGAGTTGGCCGAGGGTGCCTGGCCGTGGGGTTCCGTTTTCGCTCTGGGGCGGGAGGTGATTCCTGCGGGCACGCAGAAACTCCACGCACAGTAAACGTTGAGCGCGGGGGCTGCGGTGAGGCTCGTCGGCGCCCGGCAGAGCAGATCCAGGCTGCGCCAAGGCGGAGAAACGGGATTCGGGGCTCCTGGGGCGACGGCCAGCACCTAAGCCAGACCCCTGGCGCAACCCAACACCCTTTGCTCCTGCCCAGGGGCGCGCAGGAACCCGGCACCACGCCCCGCCCGCCCCCACCTGCAGATCTGGGGCGCGTCCGAGGTCCCTGGGTCCCCCGATCCATCCCTGGAGGAGTCCCAGCCGGCGCTTACCCGAGAGGGCGGCTCCCGGGCGCTGGCGGCGCTCGCAGGTCGGGCGGAGAAGAGCCGGCTGCGCTGCACTGCGCTGCGCTGCGCTGCCCCGGCTCGGGCGGCCGAGCGCCCTGCAGCGCCGCGCGGCTCCGACTTCCTCTTCCTCGGCCGGCCCGCCCGCCCCTCCCGCGCCCGGACGCAGCTCCTCCGCCGGCCGCGAGCTGCGGGTCGTCCCGCCTCCCCTGCGCGCTGTGGGCCGGCAAGGTGGGGCGGAAGAGGGGGACGAGAAAGAGCGATTAAGCACTTGGCCTCGTCTCTGGAGCTGTGCCAAAGAGAGCAGTCAAATTACAGCCTCTGGGGAAAGAGAGTTTTTTTGAAATCTCTGCTACTGTTTTCGCAGACACATCACTTTTCTCCAATTGCCGAGATCTTCAGGTTTAGCTTTCCCGGGACGTGATCATTTCCTACATGAGTTCTTTAAAATAATATGAAAATAATCACTTTAAATCAACACTCGAGTTTTATACAAAGGCTCTCTGGGGTAATAGCAATGTCAAAAAGAGGGGGAAGCTCACTGGTTTTCAGGCATCATTACCCTCATCGCCTCAGTCGGTGTACCAAACGACCTTTGCTTAGAGAAAGTAAAAGTGAAAAAAGGGGACAAAGAATAACCTTTGAGATACCGGTGTAAAGGCACCGACTCGGCAGTAAAATTATGACTTCAATCAAAGGTGAAGTCATTTCTTAACACCTCCCATTAAGTGGCCTTACCGGGTTTGCCCATGGTCTAGTGCCACTGCGCTCTGGAGTTATTTAACTTTTCTGGGTCTCATTTCCCTCACCTGTGAAATGGGATTGATGATAATAGCGCCTACCTCCTCTGAGAGTTGCTGTGTATGATTTAAATAAGACAATGTGCGTAAAAGGCTTAGGAGAATACCCAACACCTAATAAAACCTACATAAATATTAGTATTGTTATTGAATTTCCCCCCTTTTATTTGCCTTTATATAGGTATATGGTTAAAAAATTATATATTTTTTTTGTGTGCAAGGTTTTGTACACAAAAAGTGGAGCTTATGTTCTATTTTATTTCCCAAACTGACTTTGGAGTGGGTTATGCTTAGAATATGTTTACTACGGCAAATTTGCACTGGGACTGAAACTTGCCATCTTCAAAACATCTTTGCAGTAGGTCTTGGGATGACCTTGTGGGCTTGACAGGACATGTTCTAACTGTCTTTCATTGACAGGAAACTGAGGCTGAAGAGTCTTAATTAAGACTTTCTCCAGAATCTGGAGTTCACACAAATCATATCTCTATCTCTTTATACTGTTATTAGTTATAGACATGGGGCAGAAACACCTCACTTGGTACAGCATGTTTTGTCCAATAGCACATCAGTCTCCCTTATCCACACAGTTTTGCTTCCATAGTTTTGCTTTACCAGAGATCAACAACAATCTGAAAATATCAAATGGAAAATTCCAGAGACAAACAATTCATAATTTATAAATTGTGCGCCATTCTGAGTAGCATGATGAAAATTTCTCATTACTCTTCTTCATTCCACTTGTGATGTGAATCATCTCTTGTCTAATGCATCCACACTGTATACATTACCTCCTACTAGCTGTTTTGTCTATCAGCACATCTATTGCAATATCACAATATTTGTCTCCAATTAGCCATAAATTTACTCAGTAATTGTCCCAAAGGGCAAGAGTATTAATGTTAGTAATTTTATTATGGTATATTGCTATAATTCTTCTATATTATTATTAGTTTTTATTGTTGTTGCCTTACTATGCCTACTTTATATATTAAACATTATCATAGGTTCGTTTGTAGAGGAAAAAAGTCAAGGTATATACAGGATTCAGTACTCTCCACAGTTTCAGGTATCCGCTGGGGGTTTTGGAATGTATCCTTTGAGGTCAAGATAGATGACTGCACCACATTTATGGTCTCTTGTCAATCCTGTGACATGCTTCAGGGAAGCTACTTGGTGAGTGTATTCATGCCTGAGGGTCAGGGTTTGGGGGCACCTTGGAGAGGAAGGAAAGAAAACTGGGGTTTCCCTCTCTTCAGGATACAGTGACTTAGAGTAAAGCCATTGGAGGGGTAGAGGGATGCCATGAAAAGACTACTCACTTGGAGTTTCCAGCGACTTAAACACTTAGGAGTCACTCCAGGGGAACTGGGCTGCGCGAAATAACCACATAAGAGACAGAAATACCTTTTTCTTTGGGGGCGCTGTGAGGGCTCCTTTGACCTTAAGGGTCCGCAGAGAGAGAGAGAGAGAGCGAGAGAGAGAGCATGCTGACCCCTTTTATTGAGGAGAAGCCATTCAAATGAGGCAAGGGGTCAGGTTTCAGGGGGCTGAGTCTAGCTTTATGATGTCTGCTGTCAGCAGGTTGACTGACATCTAGGAAGGCCACACCCAAGGACAGAGTAAGAGAAGGGAACACACAAAGGGGGTTTCCATGGAACATTCTATCCCAAACAGGGCAAGGGGTAATATTATAAAGGAACAGGTGAGTTTAGTTCCACCCATGGGGATGTAGGAAGGCACACCCAGGCACAAAGACACATTTGCTCGTCCCTAAAGATTGGGGCTACCATCTATGGTTACCTAGACAACCAGATAACAAGGTGACCTACAACGCCACACTAATCAGAAGGGGAGACAAATGCTGGTCACGTACTATGTCGGCCTCACTGCAGACTTCACCCCATGCCGGCAGTTTCCCTTGGGCAGAGGACAATTCTGAACCATGGAGCTGTGGTATCTATGGAATGGTTATATTTCCTGTTGAGCCCACTCCTCTTCCTGTCACCTTAGTTCAGTAATGAGGTGGCGATAAGAAGTGGAAAGAAGAACAAGAAGCTCTTTGATTGAATCTGTGCATAAAGCATGACTGGGCACCTAACTCATGTTGCCACTCCTGGTTCCCCATTAGGTACACTCTGCCCTTCAGATCACCAGAGTGTGGTCTGCTTGGAATCCCTTGGCCTGACTCACTGAAGGTCTAGTTAAACCATGTGTGCCCTGCATTTAGCGCAGCATTGAACACAGTAGACTTAAAAAAAAATTTTTTTTTTTTGGTTATAGATGAACACAGTACCTTTATTTAATTTACTTGTTATTATGTGGTGCTAAGGATTAAACCTAGTGCCTTACACATGCCAGGCAAATGCTCTACCACTGAGCCACAACCCCAGCCCACAGTAGACTTTTAAAGATAGACAGGCAGATGGATGGATGAATGGATGAAGGACAGAGTACAGAGCTCTGAAAATACTATTATGTAGCATTGCATGTTGGTAACATGCTACACTCCCCTTTAAGGAGAAGAACTCAGTTCCAGAGCTTTCTAAGTAAGGTCATATCTAGTATTAGGAAAATTCTTTTGATGAGAAGTTTTCTGTGTTAAGGTCAAAAAAAGGGAAACAGAAAACATTTAAGGTATTTATAAAAGAAGGGTTTTAATGCAGTGAACTGCCTGTAAACATGAAGGAAGAACCAAGAATTCAAAAGGAGACAGTGGGTGAAGCAGCCCAGAAGTTAAATACAGCAAAATGCCACCACCACCCCTAGATGGAGGGCCAGGGGAGGGGTGTTAGAAATGAAACCGCTGGAGCTGGAGAAATAGCTGTTGCCACAGACCCTGACAGAGAGGAGGAAAAATACAATTTTTGCCCTCCCTTCAGTGTCCAATCCTGGTACGATCATTGATGGAACTCTGCTAAGAGACTGGGAAGAAAGCCCGCAGCCCCCTCCCCAGCCCTGCAACCCTGGGAGACTGAGCAGGAGAAGGCAAGAAGGGTCTGAGGGCAACAGGCCCAGGCCTGGCCTGTTCTTCAAACTTCTCCCTCTCAAGATAGATTGGGTCTCCCCACTAGACATCTGTAAAAGAAGCATTTTTTGCTTTTTGAGATTATTAAACATCTCCTAAAGCATGATATTGTTTCCTTAGACAGAGCCAGTCAGGTAGACACCATAATGCCTAAGGTCACAGAGATTCCAGAAAGTTCAATGACTTGTCTCACAGCTCTAGGGGCAGCGTAGGACACAAGCACAGAGCTAGGCCCTCAGTTCTCAAGGCCGCTCACTAACACAGCTGTTTCTAATGAAAACCAGTATAGTGGCGTGGGCTCCTATGGCGTCTCACTCCCGGGTCTCCAGTCCATGCACACATGGGAGTCAATGTTTGCAAAGCTTACAGAGTTTGATGGCTCCATCACACCCTGCTTTAATTTTACGACTTATGTTGATAACTTTTATGATGTTGATGGTGACTGTACTGAATTTATGATTATACAAGATCACAAAAATCATGTCTACTGGATTATAGGAGTCCCAGAGAAAAAACCCAGGGGGAGTTTAACTTTTTTTTTCCTTTAAAAAAAAAAAAGAAAAAGTTTTAATTTTAAATTTGGATTTGTGAGCTTGAAAAGAACAAAATCAAAAACAAAACAAAACAAAAACTATAGACTATCCTGGCCATGTTAGCAAGCTTAGGGTAAGGGAAGTGACCTATGACAGTCTCATGTAGACAGATGACCAGGGATGCAAGCAGGTGGGATGATGGGTTTCTTCAAATTCTCTGCATCCAGAAATGACCATCAGGATCTGTATTGGAGCTGGTACTTCTTTCTCCAAAGCCTATGAGCCAGAAGATTTTAAAAATTAGGAAGCTGTACTAACCTCAAAGAGTGAAAGATACCATGAGAAATGTTCCTGTTTATTATTTTCTAGCCAAGTTGGACCTAAAAGTAAGTAGGGAATTTAAAACCATCCGAAAATTCTGAGATATTCAAATTATCTGCTGCTGACCTGCAACAAGAACACCTGAACTCTCCATCATGAATCACCTCCTGGGTGAAGGCCTGGTTCAAAGGCAAGTGCAAATTCTTCATCTGTCAAGGATGATATACATGGTGGAGGATTATCCCAAACATTCTCAGACTGGTACAGTGGGCACATCAGATCTTCAGGGCAAGAAAAAGGAAAAAGGCTCCAAGATGCAAAAAAAAAAAAAAAAATCTAGGCAATTATCATAGACATCTTCAACAACTCATGGTCAAGGGTATCTTTCCACCATTTCTTCTAATTGCCTATCTTGATGTTGACCCACATGCTAAAGTGAGATGTATGTGTAATATGCTTTACAAATATTGACATTTGAGGAAAAAATCCTAGAATTTAAACTTTAAACTTAGTGTCAATACACATTGGGGACATAAGCAAAATTCAATATTATGCAGATAGCCTGAATGTCATCGTAATAGATAACATCCTAAATTATATTCTATTAAAATAAAGCATTGTGGACAGTTTATACCTTTGCTTCACAATTAGCTTTTTATGAAGTGGATATTAAAGTATTAGGGTACACATTTAGAAGATTTTGAAATTTAGTAGGTTTTTTTTTTTTTTTTTTTTTAGCTCTTTTCTTTATTGGATGTATTGAGGGAAGAAGTTACTTTCAACTTTATTGCTCAAAAAATAATCATGTTTGGAAGTTTTCTGTAGGACTAATACAACACCCCCTAGATTCACTTGGATGTGTAAGGGTGGGTGCTTTGGGTTGTCACTATGGAAGGGAGAGTACTGGTATCTAGTGATGGGTGCCAGGGTTACTCACCTTTTTACATGACTGAGATAGTCTTGCACGAGGAGGTTGCCACCTTAAACATCAGTAACATCTCCCTACACTCACACTGTGAGCAGTGCCTTTAAATGGGACATCTCAAACTTAAATGCTTTCAGAAGGCAGCCCTGTAAAAATATTTGTTCAGCAGTTCAGAGCTGTCAGGGTGCGGTGCACACCTGGAGGCAAGTGAATTCAAAGGACTTTAAACACCTTTTTGACCAAACAAAAACATCCCTTTAAGCCAAATCCTCCTGAATCTCCAGGTTGCTCCTTGCCTTTCATTCCCAGTTGTTTTGGGATAAATTTTCAGACCAAAACAGAAGGAATCATTGCTCTCTCCTCTTCCTCTTCTTCCTCCTCCTCTTCCTTATTTCTTAAAAACATATATTCAGTTGTCTAGGAAAATACTGAGAGAAAATACTTTGCTCTTTTCTAAGAATTCAAGTCCAAGGATACTAGAATAAAAGAATGCAGTGAGTAGGGAAAAGAAGACTATGTTCACCCATAAAAATTAAATTAACTGTGAAACCATTTTTAACCAGTGAACTGGTGGCAGAGGCCCCAAGCATGTTCCCTTGTTCTTCCAGGTACTGATTGCTACTGGCTTTCAACAATGTCCCAACTCTACATTAAGCACTCTGCTTACATTACCTTATTTAATCCTCACAACTAGGGGTACTTTCTCCATTTTACAAATGAGAGGCTTACAGAACTTAGGTATAAGTGGCCAAGGTTCTTTTTTGAAACTATCTACACACACACACACACACACACACACATTGGTATACAGTTGGTATCAGGAATTGAACCCAGGGGTACTCAACCCCTGAGCCACATCCCCAGCCCTTTTTATTTTTTATCTGAGACAAAGTCTTGCTAAGTTGCTTAGGGCCTTGCTAAATTGCTGAAGCTGAACTTGAACTTGCGATCCTCCTGCCTCAGTCACCTGAGCTGCTGGGATTATAGTTTAAAGCTGCCACTATACATGGTTTTAAACTATATTTTAATTTTTAATTGATACAGTTATTATACATATTTATGGCATTTCAACACATGTATACAACATGTAACAGATCAAGGCAGTTGGCATATCTATCATCTCAGACATTTATCATTTCTTTGTGTTGGAAACATTTTAAATCCTTTAGTTATTTTGAAATATTCAGTTAATGGTTGTGCTATAGGACATTGGAAGTTAGTCCTCTGGTCCAACTGTACCCCTGAACCCATTAACCATCCTTGTCTCCCTACACCCTCTCTCCCTACACCCTCTCAGTATCTGATAACCCCCATTTTGTTTTCTATGGCCAAGATTTTAGAATCAGTAAGGAGTAGTGTAGGAATTCGGAGCCAAATTCGTTACCCCAAAACTGTCCCGTAAGTACCAAGTGCCAGTGTCAGTACATCCTACGTGAATCATACACCTTAATCTTTCTATTTTGGTTTCCTTCTTTTATGGCTGCAGGACCACCTGACTTCTTTTGAACCATGGAAAAATGCAAACACATGCTCTGCTAAGAGGGTACTCTACACAACCACAGTCACAATCTTTATCCTCAACACAAGATCCTGCAAATGGGAAGATGTTTTCTTAAATCCTTTGTGATGAAGCCTGCCCTGGTGTCAGCTCATTTGGCAAAAAGCCTCGTCTGCAATGTTTGGAGAAGTGTTCCCAGAAAGTCCCAGGTGTTAAAGACTTTGGAAGAACAAGATCTGGTTTCACAGTTAATTTAATTTTTATGGGTGAACTATTAGGAGTTGGTGGAACTTTTAAGAATCGGGTGTAGTGGGAACTCTTTAGATCATTGAGGATGGGCCTCCTTGGGGCTGGGGTTGGGGGACAGTGGTTGCAGGATCCCAGCCCCTTCCTCTTTCTCTCTTTTTCTTTCCAGCCATCTGGTGAGCAGTTGTGCACTGCCTCACACTCATGCCCAAAGCAACAGGGGCAGCCAATCATGGACTAAAAGCTCAAGAACTGGAAGCCAAAATAAACCTCTTCTCTTTATATGTTGATTGTCTCCGATATTTATTATAGTGACAGAGCAAAAATTAACACAGACTATTTGTAGTTTCATTTAAAAATCCTATTTAGTGTGAATTTTCAGTGATTTAACTGTAGGAATATAAAGGTACTGCCTCAAACTCTTGCAGAACTATTGCATTATGTATGATAGATGTACTACTTACCTTTTGAAAGCCCTTTTAGAAAAGACCTTGAATTGGGAATTGGGAATCTGAAATTTCAAAGAACCAAATTATATTGAATAGATACTATTAAGACTGTGTTTTATGAATGGTAAGAAGCAGTGGCATATTGATGCTTGTTTGTACCAATTTTCAAGAACTGGTTATTAAAATTTCAGGAATTTTCTGAGCCACGTCAAATTGGTAGCTTGAGATCAACTGCAAAGAAAATATTTACACCTCAGATGTTGGCATGAGCTACACATCAGGATCTCCTCCCTCCCAACCCCTGCTAGAGCTGGTTGTTCAAAGCTCACCAGCACACCATTAGAAGAGGCAGGAGCTAAGAAAGAGAAAAAATATCACATGCAGTGAGCTCCTCCCATTCCATCCTTCCCAGTAGATGGGAAAGCCAGGCCTCCAGCTCACTGGTCCTAAGGGAAGATCTAGGGAAGAGAAAGAAAATGTTCACCTGGTTTCACTCTTCATAGATGATTTTGATCTTTTTTTGTCCTGAGAGTAAGTATGAGAATTAGCAAAGAATTGCTTGGTGCATCTAGACTTCAGGAAATGAAGGCTTTGAGAGCTTAGGTCAGTCCTGTGGCCCACGTTTCATTACCAGGTAGGAGCAGCACAGGCCTTTGGAGGAATAAAGAACAAGAAGCTATTAATTTGAGGCACATGGTATCGATGCATGATGCATCTGTAAGCGTAGTTCCTAGGGAGTGGCTGTAGAATGACCTCTTGAGTCTGCTGTGGGGAGGGGAAGGTGCAAAAATGTTTTGCTGCCACGATGGCTGTGATCCCAGTTTTATAGGGGGTTGTGATGAAGACTAAGTGTGAATTTCCTTTCTTCTCTCTCTTTCTTTGAGGAAGGCATGAAAAATAGTAAAATCAAGATTTTACTGTTCAAAGGTGGATCACTAAAGGCTATTGGAACCATGGTCTCTAGATAGGCAGAAACATCACAATGGTCCAATGACTTGTGCCTCTACAGTGGTACAGCCGAAGGGGTTCTTGGACTCCCGCACTCCTCATGTAAATCCAAGCAGGACATTTGGACCTTATTTGTCAGATGCTTGGCAGGGCTTGAGGGAAGAGTGCATGGGGAGCTCACTTGAACATGAACTAGAACACATTTGAGGAAAACGGGTTTTCAGTCCCCTGAAATCCTTGTATGCTGCTCCTTCATTGGACTTCTGAGTTACCTCCTTCTGCCATCTTTTCTGCATCTTCAAACTTAGCCCTTCCAACTGTGCAGGAGAAAGTTTTGCATTTGAGATCTGATTGTGTGTGTTGTAGAAAGGAAGGAAAAGGGACTGAATCACTGTAGGGAACAAACGATCAGCTGAAAGGAGAAAGGACCCGAAATGGCCCTTATTCATTAACGCTGAAAAAATGGTCTTTGCAACTAACTGTAAATGGCCAGTGTTCTTTCAGGCACAACATCATCTTAGAAATAATTATCTAGGGCGATCAGTAAGGTCTCTGTGACAACTCTAACTTGAAGCTGCAAATTTGGAGACTTGAGATGTTCTGTAGAAAGCTATGCCTGCTTTGCATTTCCATTTTAAATGGGGGCAGGCTATATTTCATGAAAACTAAAATGCCTTATTCCAAGCAAAAGCTCCAACCAATGAAAGCAGGCTTTAAAGGTTGTTCTTGCATCAACAGCGAAGTGTTGTTTAGAGTGTTCGGCATGAAGAGTGGCATGATCTAGAACTGAGTTTTCACATTACATCTTTAGCACATTAAAGTGTGAACTTTTAAATACAGTTTAATATGATTCAATCCTGTGAGACAAATGCATTTTTTTAAAAAAGTAGAATCCCATGAAATTCTCTAAGGAAAACAAATGGGAAATTCATTTTGGATGTAGAAATGTTGGATTTGAAAAGTCGAAGACTTGAAATTTAAAACAGAATTTAGTAATGAAGGAAGTGGTTATCTTTACAGGCCAATCTTGAAAGAACAATGTGACAACATCAGGAACAGAGGTGCATGAGGTGTGAAGGGAGAAAGATTAAAATTTTGCTTTGTCTTTGGAGGTCCCTGAAGTGAGAACTGAGAGGCTCCAGTCCAACTACAACATAATGTCTGTCTTCAAATTGGCATGATCAAACTTTGTATTTGCTAAAATGTTATGGTGGACTGTTTTTGTCATATATGCCAACTTAAAAGTATCTCAAACTCATTTTTTCCTCCAAATTCTTTTTGTTACTAAATCCAGGAAAATTAATATAGAGTATGATAAACTTAAGAATTAAGAATACATTAAATTGTTTTAGTATATATTAATTCCTCAGTGTGTGTCCAGTGAGTGCATCCTAAATTTTTAGAATCACATTTTGCATCAATTAAAAACTGGCCATACTCATCACTGGTTCATATCATTCTTTTCAGAACAGAAATGAAACCCACTTTCCATCACAATCATATTTGCACATATAGATATTTCTCTCTTTGTATAAGTTTGTTCTTCTATAGGTTTATTATCTGAATAGCTGCATTCTTTTTTTCCTTCTAATTTCTGATCTCTCCTACTAACTACCCACCTCCAAACTCATCTTTATTCACTTTATCAAAATCCTTGTTCCCATTAGCATTTTCTTCTCATCCTAATTCAGTAAAACTGATCCCATAATGTGGATACGTTGCCTATGGACTCTGAGAAGCTCTACTTTCCTTTGGAATTTTGTAATAGGACAAATTAAATGGGAAGCCAAAGAAATGTATTATTTTTCTAAAATTGTTACACTGAAAAAATCATTCTTTTAAAAAAATGTTTTATTTCTTTACTTCCTTTCAACTTATTCACAACAGTTCAACAAGTGACTTACATATAGACAGAAACTGCCTGCCAAAGATCTAACTGGAAACACCAGAGAAGATGGAAGCCCCACTAACCGCATGACCTCGACTTTCTGTGTTGGTTGGAGTCCCTTGGAACGTGGTTAACCCAAGACACACTCAGTAGCTGGTTTCAAAGTATCTTTTTCTGTAATTACAGAAGGACTTCGATTATGAAGAACCCAACTCCGTGACCACTTTCCAGCAACCCAATACTTTCCTGAGAGTGGACTCCTACATTACTAGCAAAAATCTTGAGCTCCTATTTCCTTAGGAAATGTATCCTTTAACTTTCAAGAACAGAGGAGTCTTTTAAAACTATTCATCCAGTTAGAAAAGAGGAAAGAAATAAAAAAAAGACAATCTTGATATGGGCTAATGCAATTAACACATACCTTCTGTAATTGTACAATTAAAAAAATACATGAAGATAGAATAACCATATATACCTCCTGGAGTACTACCATCTATTTCTTTCTTTCCAGGCCTCCCACTCCAGCTTTGTAGCTCAAGTCCGAATTGCTTCATTCCTGGACTGGGAAGCTCCATTTGCAGGCCCCATGCATTCTGCATAGTGCTGCTGCTAGTCTGATCTTATGATACTGTTTGCAAGCCAATAATATGTGAAGGGTCCCCAGAAGGCCAAAAGCCAAACAAGATGCATGGCCAGGGAGGAATTTGAGCATGTGACCCAGAAAGTAAGCAAAGAATCAAGGATTTCTGAGTTGTACAGAGACTTACCAAGTGGCCTGCAACCTGTGCATTCTCTCGCTCCATGTGAACCCTTGGCTATGTCCTTCAAAATCATGAAGTATATAACCCTCTGCACCACAGCAGTTCTGCTCAAAAAGGAAGTTGTTCACTAGGCAGTCACGTGGAGCTGGGGCAGCTGGTTTTGCAGGGTGCTCATTGGAAAAGAACACATCTAATTAAATGCCAGCGTTGTCCAGATTTGCTCAGGGGCTGGGGTGTAGGATTGTAGTTGGGGAAGACTCTTTGTTTACTCAACTTGGAGAAGTTGCAAGCTCAATTGGGAATTGATTAAATGAATTATATCCTATTTTATCTCCAATGCAAGAAAATAATGCACTCATTGTGGATGAGTGTGGAATGTAGGCCAGTTAGATACCCATAAACATCACCAAATCATCTAATTGAGAAAGATGAAAGAAGAATTTGGTACTTCTGGAACAAAGGCTTTTTCTTAAAAGGAAGTCATGGATGTGAATCCTAGTAACACCAGTTTGTCCTATTTGTTTTGCAAATTTAGTAAGAAAGGCTCAAACTCATACTGGCAGGTCTGTATACTATTTTCAGCACATTATTTACATACTTAACTTAGATTCATTGCTTTGACAAGCTGTATATGGATCATCTCATAATGTAGATTAATTCATAATGTAGCATTACTTTTTGATTAATTTCTTTCTTCTTTCTTTTGGTACCAGAGACTGAACCCAGGAATGCATAACCACTGAGCAATATCCCCAGCTCTTTATTATATTTTATTTAGAGACAGGGTCTTGCTGAGTTGTTTAGGACCACACCAAGTTGAGGCTGGCTTTGAACTTGCTATCCTCCTGCCTCAGCCTCTAGAGCTGATGAGATTATAGGCGTGCGCCACCACACTTGGCTTGATTAACTTCTTGTTTGATGACTTCATAAACTCATTGAAAGACCCTCTCAAGATTGCTAAAGAAAGACACTTAGACCAGGGGCATTTTGCCCTCAAGGTGATACCCAGAGGGTACGGAAAAGGCACCTGAGCTTATGCAGGAGAGTGCCTGAGTGTACCTTATGAATCCACACATCATCTATCCCTTGAACACACTTCAATGGTTCCCTAGTGTCAAATCAAGTTCAACTACTAATTTAGCCCCCCAGTTGACCACTTTGGCATCTGTCATCCTCTTCATCATCATCATTATTTTTATCCTACCCCAAATTTTCAGTTAGCCAAACTTACCAATGACCATTTCTCAGATATGTCATGTGAATTTATTTGTGGCTGGAATGTGCCTTCCTGGGATCCTTGAGGAGATGAACCCCTTCTCTAAGGAGAAGTTCCATTGGTTATTTGAGGTTTTCTCCATATCTGGCTCAGAATGTCCAAACCACACATCCTCTACATGTCCTCGTCTCCCCAGACTACAACAAGGACCAAAACACTTTGCCGGGTGTGCCATCAGAGTGTGGACATTGGCAATAATAGAACAGGACATGTGAGATGTTTAACTTCGTGATGATCAGACTTGTAAGTACATGAATTTCTGTTTTTAAAATGGCTCAGCAAACAAAATTGATGTCATTGAAGGTAATTATTCATATAACAAAGTGATTCATTGGTAGGTTTGTTAAAGTCTCATCCTCTGTACTGAGTTATTTTTCATAAACTGCTAACCACTTGGCAGAAGTTTAGGGGCTAAAAGAGCTTAAGCTAGATTAAGAGGAGCCTCGGTGCATTTCTGATGTTCCTCTTTCCTAGAAGAGGGTTGCTCTGCATGGGGTGTTACTTGCTAGAATCAGATGCTGTTCAGCTCAGTTCCATGAACAAGATGATGCTCTAAATCGACGGTACTGTGTCTGAAGTGTAAAGCCAGTGACTCTCAGACTGGACAGGATGTAGAGGCTGTCTAATGAAACTTTCCAAACAATTTTCCAAATAACTCTTGCTGAGAAAATAAAATAAGAATGCTAAGTTCTTCACAAATGGCTAATGAGCGGAGCACTTTTTATGACTGAATTCTGCTGTGGGAAGGGACAGGACCAGTCACAGGAGGAGTGGTCTGCAGAGCAGCTTCCCATGGGGATCTGGGTCACAGGAGCTACCTGGGGTATGGGGGTGGGGACTCTTTCTCAGAGGATCCGTCAACAGAGCTATTAGTGTGAGGAGGTGAGCAACTGTCCACTTGCCAGCCTGTGAAGTGGAGGAAGCGCTCTGGGGGCACATGGTGCTTTCCAGCTGGGGTTGGGAAGGGAGTTTTTAGAGGATGGGATGTAACATTTGACTGGAAAGGCCCTACACTCAATTCTTGCCAAGACAACCTTCCCAGGCTGGCCACAGGGACAGGTGGTCCTTGATGTCATAGCCTGTCCACCTGAAGGATAGCTACAATATTTCTTTCATATGCCAGTACATGAATGCATTCATTAGGTCATCCAATATTTGCTAAGTCCCACAAAAGTGCCAGAATCATGCTGTGCACGGGTGACATGGTATGAAAGAAAGAGATGTTCTTCCAGTTCTCATGGAATTGCCATAGAATGGGGAAAATAGACCTCAGTGACATATGTTCAAATCAGTATAAATTGCCAACTGGGAAAAGAAAAGAACATTATGAGAATGTATATCAGGGAATTAACCTACTTTGGGAATTCAGAGGCCCTGTTCTTAAAACTATCCTTCGAGCTGGGCTCTTAAGAGCAAGGGGGAAGAGAAGGCAAAGTATTTGCAGCCAGTACAAAGGCCCTGGGGCAGGTGGGAGTAGCCACTAGGAAAAAGATCCATGGGGCTAGGAGCCATGGGTAAGCAGGGACCTGGGTCAGAAGGCTGTTGTTGGGAGGGAGGCTGTGGGGTTTTGATTGGAATAATTGGCTGTAGGAAGCAGAGCAGTTGGGGTCAGATGGCTCAAGTAGAAGGAATTCCAGGTCAGTGCATGCGTTGCTCCATTTCTCTGAGTTTCGGTTTCTTAATCTCTAGGAAACGATAGCATTTGGAGAAAATCCAGGAGTGTTCTGGTTGTACTACTTACTAACTGGGTATTTAGAAAATGGATTAGCTGCTTTGCTTCTTCAAATTTTTCATCTGGAGAGTGAGGATTTCGATGCCTGCTGTTTGGCAACGCAGGTGTGGAGACAAGAGGATAAGAAATGCGAAACTGTCTTGAAAAGTGGACAAATGTGATAAAACAAGGGTCATAACAATGGCATGGATACAGCAGGGGAGGTTCGGTTCATTAGCAGAGACATGGATGTTCCCAAGGATGAAGTCAGGGATCGGGGTGGCGGCAAGTACTAAGCCAAAGGCTAATTTCTCTAATCTGTTTTGGAAATGAGTTCATTCCTTGTTCATCATGATCCTGTTTAAGTCCGTTTTGTGATTTGGCCAGAAATTTTCTCATCCACTTGATGGATGCCAAGTAGAGCTGAGTTTGGATCTCACTTTCTCTACTTAATTGCCATGTTCTCTCTTACTGCATAAAAGCCCTCTCAGATTTAATGGTTTTAAATAACACTGGAAGCATGCTCCTGCTCCTTCACCCTGGGATGGCCTCCGCTGTGTCTGTCATGACACAGCTAGAAGGCCACTGTTCTCCAGCACCATGCTCTCAGCCTTCCTCATCTCCAGAACTGTAAGAAACTAATCTCTGTTCTTTGTCAATTAAATAAGAAACAAACAGCAACCCCAGCCGTTTACTGTCTCACTATTTCATAGGCCAGGAGTCCCACGTGGCTCAACTGGGGTCTCTGTGGGGACCTCATGCTCAGGCTGTGGCCAAGCTGAGTTCTCATCTCACTCTGGGAAAACAATTTGCTTCCAAGCTCATTCAGAGGGTTGGCAGAATTCAGATTCTTGCAGTGGTTGGAATGAGGTGCCTGTGTCCTTGCCAAAGGTCATTCTCCGCTCCTAGAGGTCTGTCCCTTGGCCTTGCACGTGGACCTTGTGTCTTCAAGCCAGCAATAGCACATCAAGCCTTTTCATGCTTTGAATCTCTTCTGCTTCTTTCAATAACAGGTACAGAAAAGCCTTTTGCTTTTTCGGATTTCTGTAAATAAATTAGGTTCAGGGATAATGGCCTTATTTGAAGGTCTACTGAGCTGTATAATATAGCCTACTCATAGGTTATATTATATAGTGCCCATGTACTCCATATACTTATGTATATAGTGCCCATTATACTCCAACTCTGGGGATTGTGCCATGAAATCTTCAGAGCCATTTTCAGAGTTGCGCCTTGCACAGTTGCTCATGTTGACCCTGATGAGATTGTTACACAAACTCCATTGGTCTTGTTTCATCATTAATCATACCTTGAAGCATCATTGCTTTGTAAGTTAAAATAAGACTTTGAACTTAGAGGATAGCAACTATATGACAAATGTGAAAACCATTTTCCTGGCTTTTCATATTAAATTTTGTATATTGGGAGCCCAGCTAGTTCCTGATACCAGAGGAGATCTTCCATGGGAAAGAGGAATGAATCCTATTCCTTGTAAGTTTAGATGTTCTTTCTGAGTTTTGTGCTACTGTATGGTATCACGAGGATTTGATTTCTCTATAGTGGTGGATGTACGCTGTTGGTAGGCATATATTAAGGATTTGAGCAAAAGGAGAACTTTCCAGAATTCAGCCTTGGAGTGTTCACGTCTGATCTTTTAACACACCCACACTCCCCCCACCCCCACCCCACACACATGACACACACACAATGTCTCGGTAACTTCTTGGTGGTGGATAAGAGAACAGGGACTTAAAATATAATTTCTGGGGTTAGTTCATCCTGCAAATTTTATGAGTAAATTCCATTAAAGTCCACTTGCTTTTAAGACTACAGAACTGATGAAAGAAAGCATAGTTCTACCTACTTCTTTAGTCACAAGGACATAATAATCCTTGCACTGTGATGCTCCATGGAATCTCTCTATGCAACAGTAAGTTTTTATAGAGCCCCCTTCTTTATTAATATGAATTTCAACAAAAGAGCCAGCAGTCCTTAAATCCATCAACTGACCATAAATCTAGGCAGCTGCAGTATGAGTCACTCTGGGATCAGCTCAGTGAATGGGCTACTGTGCTTCCCCCCCCCCCCCGCCCCGCCGCATCCCCCCCAGGGAGATGGAGCACACCCTCCCTGAAGT